GGAAGGGGCTCCCTGAGAGTAGCGGAAGGTGCTCCTCCACCCCACCACCCAGGGAGTCACAGGGCTTTAGAAGCCGTGTGCCAGGAGCCAGGACCAAGACAAATTATCTATTTCTTATTATATCACAATATCACACAATGTAATAAGCCATTGTAACTGTAAATAGCCCACCTAGAAAAGGCATATGTACTGTTGCCCAAATAATAAGCAACCGCAGGGAGACAGAAAACCAACAGAGGCTGGTGGTTGGGTAGCGATCGCCACCTGGCTGTGTGTGAGCCTTGAAGAAAGGTGTCTACTGTGAGTGACCCCGGACCGACCCCTCTGGCCTTGCCGTCTCTGCAGCCAAGAGCCATCTGCTTGGTCAGTGTTCACGGCACTACTGAGAAATGCCCAGCATTTCCGTCTGCAAAGCGGGATAACTGGGAGGAGGTGACGGAGGCTCAAACCCTCCCATGCCTAGGTCACAGTGGCTCGTGTGACCTCATGGTAAAGGTCCGCTGAGGGGCTGGCTCCAGGGAGGGGCTCAGCATTGGTCACGGTAGGGAAGGAGTCCACTTCCCAGGCAGGAGTGCTTTCTCCATCCAGGCACTGGGCACGAAGCTTCTGCCAAGTTCTTCTCCCGTCACTTAGAGGCTCCTTCTCTCTTCCGCCCATCCTGCATCCACTCAGCAAACCTGCAGCACCAATTAGTTCAGTTAGCCAACCAAGGCCTCCTCGCTGGGTCTGTTCATAGGGCGGGAAGAGTCATTCTGGCTTGAGTTTTCCAGAAGGAAAAGGCCTTGGGTAGCGACATTGTTCTCCGCATAAAAGACAGTGCCATCCGCCACCAAGCTGCTCACGAGGTTGGTTGCAGTGACCCATGCCCGTTGGGAGAAAAGGACGCCTGTGTTCTAAACGGACGTGGGAGAAGGAACAAAGACTTATGTTGTAGTAATTGCAAGGGTGGAGGCTATGAGAATTAATTGCCTTTCCTGATCTAAAGAAGGCTGCTACCAGCCACAGGTGGCCAGGGGCCAGGGCTCAAGGGTGGAGTCATGGGGCCGGGTTCAAATCCTGCCTCTGTGGGGAGAACGTTAGCAAATGACTTCACCTTTTTCAGCCTCAGTGACAGCAGAAAAGCAGTGCCCCTCAGAGGACTGTTGGAGGAGTAAACGAAGTTTTGCACATACACAACTGTGTACGAAGGGTGTGACACACGCAATTAGTGGTCATTATTGTCATGAAAGGTACTGTTCTCGTTTATCAGAGAATCTGGACCTGTCAGGTGAACTCCTGGGACAACAGACAGCCAAAGCCACGCCGAGGGCAGGACAGGGATTTCTCTCCGAGCGAGCATGTGAGGGGCCAGCGGTGCAGCACGAACTCACGGGGCTGCTTCAGAACACTCTGAGTCCAGCAGGCCCCCGTTTGGCAAGTTGTGGTAGCGTATCTGTATTTGGTGAGGATCATGTTTTATTATTTTTATATCACATCAAATTCCATGAATGCATTTGGTTTCTAAGCAGTCATTCCAAAAGCACTGCTCCCTTTCAGGAGGGCAGCCCAGCGTGAGCAGAGCTGCCGGGGTTTGCTTTGGATCCATGGCAACGTTAGGGCCAGTCGAAACAACAGGGCTTTTGTTTTTGTTTTTGAACTTTTCCTTCTTCTTTTTTTTTTTTTAATTTTGAGTCGGGACTGGAGCTGGGAGCACAGCGAGTGCACTCTCCTCAGCCTCGCTTTGTGTGTGTGAGGTTTCTTGCCCAGGGAACGGCGTCTCCACGAAATGGGAGAGGGAGTGTTGAACCGAAGCCAGGGAACGGCATCGGAAGGAAAGTCACGTTTTCCCCTCTGGGTGGAACTGTCGCAGGCGTTTATTTGAGTATATTTTTTCATAACTTTTAAGTACCCTTGGAAATTTGCCATAAAATCATGTCAGGTTTAAAGTTTAAAAGAATCAGTATATTAACCTCTTTGGTTTTTTACTCAGTGGGAATAATTTTTAATTTACTTTGTGGTCATCGCGCATTTTTATACCTTTGTCCCCTGGTGGGCCCAGGATAGTGTTCAACTGCGTTAAGCTAAAGGAACAACAAAAAAACCCTAATCGATTGATTGTTAAAATTATTTAACTAATAAGAATTTATACACCTTGATTTAAAAAATGTTTCTGTGAGACGGTACCATCTCCAACAAGAATTATCCAGGAGGTGGGAATGAGTTAGTTATTTTGAGGTTTAAATAATGTACCAGAGAAAATGGAGAACATGAAAGATAAGGACGTATAAACCGGAGCCAAACCCCTAGTAGTATATAATTTTGTGTCTTCCTTTCTGATAGTTATTCCTTGTATTTATTTATTGCCTTACTTGCCTCCTTGTGCTGCCCAGGATTTCCTGTTGTGTTTCCTATTGTTTGTTACGATTTCAAATCTACTTGTAATGGCTTAACTGATGTTGTTTTGATCCAAGGCAAATTTGTTTACATGGGGGGTGTTGCGTCAGGATGATGTCATCAAAATTACTGTACTGATTCATATGAACACAAGGTGGAGCAACTATGACGTAATGGCCATTTAAACTTGAACACCAACAGTCTGTGAGGACTTACCCAGAGTGTTCAGTCAGGCAAGGCTGATCTAAATAGCTCTCTGAAGCTAAAGGCTGATACTTTTTGCTGATCTAAATAGCTCTCTGAAGACCTTGGGCCAGGCTCCTCTCTGCCAGCAGTGATGAAAACTGTGCAGCGGCCCATGAAGGAGACCACCTTGTCCGTCAACACCGGCACCTTGGCTCCACTCGCATCGTGCTCTAGTGACAGGGGTCTTTCAGTAAGTGCTGGCAGCTGGACATTGGCTGCTGGTTGGCTGGCTAGCTGACTCTTCTGAGAACCAACTCAGCTCAGAATGGTCCACTTGACTAAATTTGGACTTAAATTTCTTTCATCTCCCCTTTGCCTGGAACAATAGCATAATTAATCTGTCATTGGTTTGGAGTATGCTTGTATTTCTGTATTGGCTTATTAAAAGATATTATCCTGTAGGACGTTGGCTTAGGAGATATTATTATGTTATTTCCAGCAGTGAACTTATGTTAAATAAATTACTGGCAAAGACACTCTCTGTCTCTGAGCATAATTTTGCTGTGAACAAACACCTATAAAATGTTGAATAGAAGTCGTGAAGGTGGATACGTATGCCTTGTTTCTAATATAATCTTTTTTTTTAAAAAGATTTTATTTAGAGAGTGGGGAAAGGGGAGAAAGAGGGAGAGAAACACCAGTGTGTGGTTACCTCTTGCACAACCCAGGCATGTGCCCTGACTGGAAACCCTTTGGCTCGCAGGCCCACACTCAGTCCACTGAGCTACACCAGCCAGGGCTCTGATATAAACTTTCAGTGTAACATCAAGTATGATTTTAGTGATAGGGTTTTTGATTGATGCCTTTTAACAGATAGGTGTTCTTGTCAAATCCTTTCTTCTTATTTATTGAAAATGATTACATTTTTCTCCTTTATTCTGTTAATATGGTGAATTATATTAATTTTCTCAGTATATATTGTTGGGATTGATTTACTAATGTTTTGTTAATGTAATGTTTAGGGTTTTTGCATGTTTTTATGAGAGATATTAGTCTGCAATTTTTTCTTGTATGTCAGGTATTTCTGTTAGAATTACGTTTGCCTCATAAAACAGACTGGGAAGTATCCATCCCCTTGCAATGACTTAAAATTTTATTTAATATTGGTATTATTTATTGCTTATACACTTGATGGAATTCACCACTGAAACCATTTGGGGCTAGCCTTTTCTGAGTTCCCCCCAAAAATAAATGTATTAAGTGATATTAACATATATAAATCACACTTGGTCATGATATATAATCACTTTATATTGTCATTGGATTGTTTTGCTAACATTTTATAGCAGTTTTACCCTGGCTGTGTAGAACCAATTAGGAAGCATTTCGCTTTTCTCTAGTTTCTGGAAGGATTTGTATAATGTTGGTATTATTTTTTATATGTTTGGGAGCATTTATTAGTGATGCCATCTGGGCCTTGAGTATTCTTCATAAGAAGGTTTTAAATGCTGAAATCCATTAACTATACAGATTTTCTAAATATTTTTTGTTTTGCTATTTGTGTTTTCCAAGAATTTTGTGGAACTTGTCAAATATTTTGACAAAGTTTTGTAATATGTTTATCCTTTAAAAATGTATAGAATCTACAGTGAATTTTTTCACTCCTCATATTGGTACTTCGTTTTCCTGTTCCCTTTTTTAATTTGGTAAAATGTAAGTACCATAAAGTACACCCTTTAACCATGTATAAATGTGCAGTTCAGTGTATTAAATATTCATATTGTTGTGCAACCATTGCCAACACCCATCTCCGTTAAACTGAAGCTCTGCCCGCTGAATCCTCGAGCTCCGCGCCCCCACCCCCGCACCCCGAGACCACTACACAGTCGCCATCACTAACGTCATCTATTTCGTTTAACTCCAGACTTCCTTTTGGTGAAATAAAAATATAACCACTCTGCTCCCATTTGTCAAGTGGGAAGAATGATAAATGATTCACACTTCATAGCGCAGAAGGCGAGACTAACTGAACTGGAGAACGGGGGTCCTGGCTCCAGAAATCTATGCTATTTCCGTCGTTCATTAACGGATCTGCATCCGCAGGCCCCGAACGTCCGCAGGTACCGCTTTCCCCGTGTCCGGTCGGGCTGGCAGCCCGGCGCTTCGGCTCTTCCAAGATACCAGGCCAGGAGGCACAGTAGAGGCGCAGCAACCCGGGTGCTCCGGGTTCGAGCAACCACCGGAGGCCCGACACATGAAATACGCCTGCGGGTGGCGAACAGCCCGAGGTAAAGCCATTTCACGAAGGGCCCGAGAGCACCGCGCCTGCGCGGGCCGAAGCCCTTGGCCCCACTTCTCCAGACAGCGGCGCGCGTACGGTGTGTGGATACGTGGGGCGGGGCCTTTTCCCCCGGACCGCTAGCGCGCAAAGCGCCTGCGCGGGCTAAGGGCGGTGGCTCCGGCTCCTGGTAGGAGCCGTCCGCCCCTCCGCACTGGCGGTGTGGACGCAGAACTCGGCGAAAGAACGTGGCTGGGTAGGTTTCACGCAGCTGAGGTAGGTTTCCCGTGGGCACCTCGGGCTGCTGGACCGCGCCTCGGCAGGACGTGCTAGGTGAGAGGCTTTAGTTCGGCGTGTGCGTCAGCGGGCGAGCTGAGGCCTGGGTCCACTTCCGAGACCACCCGGCACCTTTCCCGCTTCAGTGCTTCGAGCTGTGGCAGCTGATATTGAGCTCCGCACCCCGCCCTTTCCAAGGGGACCCGCCCACCACCACGCCTCTTTCCCAAAGCCACGCTCCTCGCAGTGGCACGCCCACTTTCCTTCAGTCCTTACCCCCTTGTCAGCCCCCACCCGCTCTGAGCCGCTAATTAGCTTTTCCTCTTACTCCTCCATCTGTTGCATCTACCCCCGCCCCGCCCCTCACTGCCCCATCTTTCATTCATCCCTTCGTTGGCTGCCTGCTCCTGACGATCCTAGGGCCACTCATCCAACAGCGCAGAGACTACGTTCCATTGCGGGCCTGGCCATCACCTGGCCCCCGCCCCACGCTTTGACCCTCGCCCCCCTTCTGGGTCCTCCACATCCATCAACCCGGCTGGCCCCGCCCTGGACCCACCCACCCGGGCCTATAGATCTCGTTCCGCCCCATCCGCCTGGTCAAGTCTAGGCCCCCTCTCTGCACCTTAACTTGGCCCCGCCCAGGCCCCGCCCCATCCCCTCAACCCGGCCCCACCCAGGCCCCGCCCCACCCCCCTCATCCCACTCAGGCCCCACCCACCCTCTCCTCGGCCTCACCGAAGCCCCGCCTCAACCTATCAGCCCGGCCCCGCCCAGGCCCCGCCCACTCCATTTACTTGTACTTGGCTTTGACCCACCCTGGTTTCCAATACAGTGTTTTCCAATGAAAACGCAACTTATATAAACCAGCACTTGTAATGATCAATGTCACAAAAATAATTATTAGGTCTTGATTGATGAGCGAAACACTCATTTGAAACAGAATTAAATTGAAAAAAGCACATCTCAGAGCTTAATACGGATTACACTGTCACTGGAAAAAAAAGAATTGAGAATGAGAAGGAAAAGCCTCTGAAAGATGCAGACCTTGGTTCCTGTTAGTGGAAACACTTTATAAAGCCCCAGGTAGGGAAGTTTAATTGGAATTAAAGCTAACACATTTCAAGACAAACTTGGACAGCGATATGTTGTAAATGAACCCAGTGATCTGACAGAAACCAACAGGCTTTGGCCAATGACTAGGGCTAACACCTGGCAGACTAGTGAAGAAAACACACTTCCTGAAAGTCATAACTCTTCAATGCTTTCAAATGTTTTTGTAAAGAATTGCATTTATAAATTTTATTTCTATTCCCTTCTTTACACATACATGTTTTACTTACATTTTGGTAGAGGACCTTTTCATGAACCTTAGAAGAGAAGTAACCTTAATTATTATGCAATGTAACAAAGCAACTTCTTATTCTCTCTCTTTTAAAGGAGAAATGGAGAGGAAAATGAAACATTAGAAGGGGCAGCTATGCGGCAGATCCTAAGAGAACTATGGCAACATCAGGTGACTGCCCCGGAAGTGAATCGCAGGTAATTTCAGTTTTGGTCTGTAAGAACCTGTACTTGAAGACCATGAACATTACAGAGAGCTGAGATCAGAGTGATAGCGCTTTCCTTGGACTAATGAAGGTGGCCACCAACCAGGGGATACCTAACTACAGGAAATGCACCCTGACTGGTGTGGCTCGGTTGGTTGGGGTGATGTCCCATGAAGCAAAAGGCCAGTGGAGGGTTTGGTTCCTGGTCAGGGCACATGCCTGGGCCGCAGCTTGGGCCCCCTGTCAGGGTATGTTGGAGGGATGTGTTCAGATCAATGTTTCTCTCCCGCTCTTTTCCCTTCCCTTCCCCTCTCTCTAAGAAAAAAATAAATTAAAAAAATTTAAATAAGGAAATGCAATGTTTGTAGGGGTTACAGATGACATTCTGCATTAGGCATTGTAAACATTTCCCAGGAATATTGGGTTCTATCTTTGGTGTCTGTGCTGGTCAAGCTAGCATATTTTCTTAGTCGTTTAATAAGGTCTCAGGCATAATGTGTTAAAAACAGGTTGGATACATCGGAAAAGATTTGTGTATTCGTACTGCTTTTTTGCCTGGGACACACTGTTTCATTTAAATTAACAATAAAAAAAAGTCACCTTAAATTTCAAGAAAATGTTGATTATATAAAATAAAAATTGAATGACAACTCGAATAACGAGTGTTTTTAAAAAATTAAACAATTTCATGTCTGTGATGTCAATTTTAACATTTCTTTTTTCCCCTTTTATTCTAATGATCTAATTTCATTTGAGGAATTTTATTTAAAGTTGGGTTATTTAATCTGTTTCTTAAAAATAATCATAAAATGTTCTAATTCCATGTATGTCTCATTTTTCTTTTGAGAAATACAAAAGATATCGGAACATTTACACAATAATTTTTCAAACATCAAGTACATATAATACAGAAGTGAAAATTTGTTAACATTTTGTGTTTGCTTCAGAATAAATACACACAGTATATAAAACAAAATCACAAATAAAGTTTCTTATCCAACCCCAGGTCCAATCTTCCTTTGTCTCCAGAGGCAAACACTACTATGAATTATGAATTGATTTTTGTGCTTCTGCACCATTGTTCATACTTTTTATAACTTATCTAGGCATCTTGAGAATTCACCTAAGTGGCAGCATGTTCTGTGTGCCACCTGCTCCTTGCCGTTTCCACTAATGTTATTTTGGGGGATCTGTCCTTAATGTGCACCTACAGCTAGTTCAATCTGAAGGATGCTCCTATAGTGTGTTCCTTATAAGAACATACCACGTTCATAGATAATGTGCATAGGTCTGTGTATATTAGGTTTGCACCACATTTTATTTATTTCCCTTTTGTTAGACACTTCCATTTTTCCAGTTTTCGTCTATTTCAAAAACTGCTGCAGTGAACATCTTTCTGCGTGTCTCCTTGTGCGCACGTGCTCTAGGGTTTGCACCCAAGTAGTGTAGTCACAGGGTGGAAGGGGTTGCAGGTTTGCAGTGTTGCCAGATAGCGAACAGGTGTTCTCCCAAGAGGCTTTACTGGTTCACGGGTCTGCCGGTGTCCACAGTGTTTGCTGATACTCAGCAGCATCAGACTTTTACCTTTTGGTCAGTTTGATGGGTCAGAAATGGTGTCTTGTTATTTTACTTTTCTGACTGCTTGTAAATCATGATTTGACTCCTTATTGAAATGTTATTGTCATTCAAGTCGGTATTGAAATTTTTTTCAGTAATATTTGTGTTCATCGTCATAATAGCACCCTCCGTTACAGGTACCTGATACCCACAATTTGTGTTTTGTCTCTTTCCCCCTTGATTAGTCTTTTTAGGGTTTTTTAGTTTTATCTTTTCAAAGAAACAGTTTGTCTTTGTTGACTTTCTCTTTATCCATTCATTGATTTTTGCTTTTTCTCCCCTTTACTCTGTTATATTTGAGTTTAATTTTTTCTTTTTATAACATCTTGAGGTGGGAACTAGGCACTGATTTTAAACCTTTCTTCTTTAATATGTCTTAAAGCTATAACTTTTAATCTCTGCCATAGTTGCCTCTTACACATTTAAATATGTTGTATTTCCATTATTGTTAATTAAAGTACTTTCTTATACATCGATGGAAATTAAAAAAATTCTGGGCTATTTAGAAATGTATTGTTTTATTTCCAAATGTTTGGGAAGTTTTACTTATCTCTTTGTTAGTTAATTTTAGTTTGATTATGTTTGATCAGAAAATATATTTTGTAAATTTCCTTTTTTTTGAAATTTATTCAGGTCTGCTTATGGCCTAGTCATGATGGGCTCTTTTGGCTAATGTTCCATATGCACTTGCAAAGAATACATATACTGCAGTTGCTAGGTGTGGCGTTCTACAAATGTCATTAAGGACAAATGGGTTATTAGTGGTGTTCACATCTCTGTATCCTTTCTGACTTTTTGTTCACTTGTTCTATCAGTTGCTAAGAGGGATGAGCTTTAAAAATCTCTGCTATGATTGTAGATTTGTCCGTGTGTGTGCTTATTTACCTTTGGGTCTATCACTTTTTGCTTTATATATTTTGAATGTGTTATTTGGTGCGTATGTTTGGGTTAGTATTTGTAGATTAATCGGCCCTTTTATTTTTATGAAATCTGTCTGTTTTTACCTGTGAATACTTCTTGCCTGTATGTCCTTTGTCTTATATCGATATTGTCGTATCAGCTTTCCCGTGGTTAGCGCTTCCAGGGCACATACACGAATATATGCCTGTGTTTTTAACCTGTCTAACTCCTTATGTTTAAAGTGTTTCTCTTATAAGGTACCTATGGCAGTATCTTTCTTTTTCTGTAGATAATTTCTGCCCTTTATTTGGAGTATTTAGTCCATTAACACTTAACATGATGACTGATTCTACCATCTTGCTATTTGTTTTCTTTGTGTTGCATTTTTTCCTTGTCCCTTTCTCCATTGTTGCCTTCTTGTGGATTAATAAAATATTCTCTGTTATTCTCTGTTATCTCTTCTGTTGGCTTTTTAGCTGTACCTTTAAAAAATTATTTTAGTGCTTACCCAAGAAATTGTCCTGTGAGTCCTTAATCTATTCCAGCCTTTTTTTGGACTATTTCACAATGTAACAAACCTCCAAATCAGTTCCCTTTATCAGCCCACATTTTTTGGTGCTGTTGTAACTATTTTCCTTTGATATATGTTGTAACTCCCATAATAAATTACTATTGTTTCTTTATACTCTCAAAAGTCTTTCAAATAAAGGAGAAGAGATAGCCTGTTTTCCCACATAGTACCTTTTCTGGGGTCTTTGCACCTACCATGCTGGGAAAAATAAAGACAGTGGCAATTCCTGTTGCTGCTGAGTATCAGGCAGAGGGTAAAGCATGCGTGCTGCTGGTGAAGTGAAAGGCAACTACCTTTGGAAAGGCAAATGACAAACATTTGACTGAAAACTATGCCTATTTTTCAGCTCTGGCAGTCCCATAAAAGTAGAGTGTCGTCACATGAGGATAAGTGTGCCCAGGTGTGTGTGGCGGCGTGTTTGCCGTGGTAGAGAACCGGACACCAAGGGAAGCCCGTCAGTCGGAGGGACTGATCGGTCAGGCCCAATCGCTACTGTGCAGTGTTATGTAGCCGTTGAAAGTTGTAAATGAGGGTTCTAACAGTTGGGCAGTTTTGTCCAGAGGGTCTTGTGAATAAAAAAGCAAAATCAAAAAAGAAGGGTCTGTGATGGCTTTACAAAAAATGACACCAAAAGGAAAACTAACCTGTGTGGGTGAGTGACACAAGCATGGAGACAGTATGGGAGGATCCACAGCAGGTGATAAGTGAGGATTGGGGGTGGTGGTGAGAAGGTGGCGTGCTGGGGGGCAGGGACAGGCCTGGAGGGCAGGCGTGGAAGAAGGTGACGCTGCTACACACGGCTACAACTGATGTTACTGTAATAGGAACAGGTGCAAAGGAGACAATCAGCAAAATAAAAAAGGTGACTAATAAGTACTCAAAAACCACGTGACCTCCCTGACAATCTAAGAGAGGAAGTAACAAACACAGGCAATCTCTTCCTCCCAGAGCAGCAGAGATTAAAGCGATGAATGTCCGTTGTTGGTAAGGGTGCAGGAAAACCTGTGGCTGACTCTCCTGTGCTAAGTCCTACTCTCCTGTCGCAGTTGAAGGAGCCACCTCTCCGTAGGGCATTTAGCAGTGGTGTCGGAACTCATGCAGGTGTGCGTTGTCTGGCTTGTCAGTTTCACATTCAGGAATTTATCCTGAGAAAAGAGGGAGAGACAAAATGATTTATGTTTAAGAAAGTTCATCCTAGCCCTGGCTGGTGTAGCTCAGTGGATTGAGCGCGGGCTGTGAACCAAAGGGTCGCTGGTTCGATTCCCCGTCAGGGCATATGCCTGGGTTGTGGGCCAGGTCCCCAGTGGGGGCCATGTGAGAGGCAACCACACATTGATCTTTCTCTCCCTCTCTTTCTCCTTCCCTTCCCCTCTCTCTAAAAAAGAAATAAAATATTAAAAAAAAAGAAAGTTCATCCTCACAGAATTTATAATAGTAAAAAAGTGAAAACAGTTTTAAGTGTTCAAAACTAGAAGATTGGATAAACTTTTCCTTCATAGAATATTGATATTAAAATAATTTAGAAGTGTATTTAATAATGGAGGAGAATATTCAGATTTAATAAGTGGAAAACATGATACAGGGCAGAATTTTATGATCCTAAAAAGTACCCTGTGGGCACGTGTTAAATGTACACTTTGGAAAAGAAGTCTGAAAGGATATGAATGTGTTAACTTACTATCTCTGACCACGGAGGGAGATTCCAGATGGTTATAATTTTCCAATGTGAACTCTTGTGCTTTCACAAAATTTCAGGGGAGTTACGTTTGTGTATAGGAAAGTTTGTCAAAATGTGCCAGTTGGGACAGGGTTGCCACAGTGTGAACTGGCGTGGTGCTTGGAGGTTCCACCACCTCCGGTGGCAGCGTCCAGGCCAGCCCCTTCTGGTGGGAGGTGGAGATGGGCAGCGCGCGGGGCCCCTAAGGAGGACGGGCCCTGAGCGGCACGTGTCAGTCGCAGCGTTGTCCAGGGAGGCCGCACGCCTGGTGCCAGGTCACCAGCTCCTCCCTAGGCCTCCAGCGAGGCCCATCCTGCTCTGTCTCCGCGTCTGATGCTCTGTCACCCAGGGAGACTCGGGACTTTTTTCTCCTGGGGCTGAGCATCACCCTCAGGAAGCGGCCATTAACATAAGCATTCATTAAGGGCTCATAGACACTAAAAGTGCTTCTTTCTTGTTTCTTTCTTTGCTGTTCTCTTGAGGTTGCAAATCATTTTGTACTAGAGATAAGAAGTAAAGGTGGAGTGTAGGTGAGACCCCCTCAATTCTGCTGGTGAGGATGACCCAATTGTTTGTATAATAAAAACTCGGTTGCTCCAATCTTCAAGAAACCATCCTGATAACCAGGAGCCAGGAAGGAAGGAAGGGAGGGAGGGGAGAAACAGAGAAGCCCCATAATCATTCCCATGTCCTCTCCTTGGCTTTGCGCAGGAGGGAGAGGAGCCCGTGGGACACTGTGAAGAGCACCTCGCAGAGGGGGTGCAGCCCGAGGAGTTTGTGGCCATCGCGGACTATTCTGCCACCGATGAGACGCAGGTAGCTGTGGACGTCGGGTCCATGTTCTGTGGACTCCAGCATGCCCGGTGACAGAATTAGGTGAAACTTTCCAGAAGTCATGCCGAAGTTGAAGTGTTGCTGTTTAGCCACGTGAGGCCTGTGGGGGGCCCATCCTTCCCTTCCCAGCTTGGCAGACTGGGGTCCTGAGCCTGCAGTGAAAGGTGCCCGGGTGAGGGCGCGGGGAGGAGGGCCCTGCTGCAGTTTCTGCTTGGCAGCCTTGATTAAGGACCTATTCTCGTTACTTAAAAGTAAGGCTATAAAATAAAAATATGTAGTCGAAGGAGGCTTTCTTTACTCTGTGTAACAGGAATTTCGTAGCCTACGCCTTCAGTCTCTGAATCGGCTGTCACATGGCTGAGTTATGGTGGAGCACTGTTGGGAGAGTTTGTCCTAAGCCATTAGAAAATGTTTACTCTTTCTTTTAAAAAATATCAATTAAGCCATGCTTTTCTTTCACGTAGATGTTCCACAGAAGTCTCTAAATCCTGGTACCCTTTTCATAAATCGTCACTTGCTATAATCACCCATTGACTTCTTTTTGAAATTGCTGTGATTTGGGCCCCAGTGATAGGGGATTTATCAGAGCTACAGTTGAAACGACAACCACGGGTTTTTCTGGAATTTTCACCCCTCTCTCTCTGTTTCCAGCTCAGTTTTCTGAGAGGAGAGAAAATCCTCATCCTGAGACAAACCACCGCCGACTGGTGGTGGGGTGAGCGTGCCGGCTGCTGTGGGTACATCCCAGCGAACCACCTGGGCAAGGACCTGGAGGAGTGTGACCCTGAGGACACGTGGCAGGACGAAGAGTACTTCGGCAGCTACGGAACCCTGGTACCGCTCTCAGATGCCCCGTTCGGCTGGCGGGCTGTGGTTTCTCCTCTCTGGCCTTAGGTTCTAACTTTCCCAAATTATGTCTGGGCTTCTCCTCCTTGCTTAGAGCTGAGCTCAGCAGGCCACTCCCTTCGATTTGCGGCTCCCCAGCTCTGCCCGTCGCAGCGTGAAAGCAGCCCCCGAGGCACGGCGAGGGGAGCGAGGCTGGGTTCCCAGAAAACCTCATCTATGATACCGAAATTAGAATTTCGTATAACTTTTATGTGTCATATTCTTCTTTTGATTTTTATAAGCTGTTTAAAAATGTAAAAGCCATCTTGATCTTGCAGGCAAGACAAAAGCAGGCGGTGGGCTGGATCGACTGATGGACTTGGTGTTAGTTGACCCCCAGGTTAGATAGAGTATCTGAGCGATGGGATTACGAATTTTGCTCAGTATTTTTAATAAGTGACAAATTTTACTTTAAAAAGAAAATACAAAAATGATATAAAGTGACACTAATAATACCTCTAAATAACTAGCTTATCAGTTTGGTTTTTTAAAATATGAAAGCAGACCTATAGTCCAATGGTCCAGACAACCCATTTATATTTTAAAACTCGATAAGGAGATATTTGCAGAGTGGATGTTACAAACCTAATATGGGGTGAAAGAAGCAAGACATCAAAGACTAGCGAGCGTTTGATTGCATAAATTAGAAGGCCCTGTGTGTGACGGGTGTGCACAAGTGGGGAAACTGAAGGAGACCAGGGACCTGCTTCCCCTGGGGTCAGGAGGGTGCTTGTGGGTAAGGGGGCTGTGACCGGCAGGGCCGAGTGGGAAGGCATGGGGTGCAGTGTTCTGGGGCTGGTTGCTCCCCAGCTGTATTTGGTGAACTGTCTGTTTTGACAGGTGTGTTCTGTTTCACAACTAGAAATGCTGAAGTCAGTGAGGAACTATTGATGTCTGTGCAGTGGTGCGGCACACGATGGCATTTTGGTCAGCGACGGGCCGTGTATGTGATGGCGGCGCACCGCGTGGCCGAGGTGTGCAGCGGGCTGTACTGTCTAGGTCTGCTAGACCTAGGTCTGCTCTGATGTGCGCACGGCAAAGTCGCCTAACGAGGCCTTGCTCACCAGGCATCCCTGTCATGAAAGGGCGCATGACTGCAGGGTTAGAGCGTTCAGTCTCTTAGACAGACGGAAGGAAGCCTGTCGCCCCCCTTCCCCGCTCCGCCCACCCCAGAGAGCCGCCCCTGGGCCTCGCCGTGCTTTCAGCAGCGGTGTTCACGCTTCTACCAGGTCTAAGCTGCGTGGGTTTTCCTTCTTCCATTTCTAGAAGAGGAGCGTTCCACACATTGTTTTCACCTTGCTCTTGTCACGTAGCTGTGTTATTTTGAAGGCCTGTTCTTCACCACAGCTGCAGAGCATTGTGTTGCTTTTGCAAGGACTGTGTTGGAGGGCCGTGCTTGTTGAACGGCTCTTCATCCTGGTGAGCAGCTCCGTGATGACGGACGTCCTCCTGCGTGAATCCTGCCTAACTCGGAGGGGGTGCTTTCACTTTGGTGGATCTTGCCCGTTTGCTGAGTGTGCACCGACCCGTGGCATGTGGATGCTTACGTCGCCACCGCAGGGCATCAAAGGGAAACAGATTTTCTGTCCGAAAGGTGAAATACGGCATCTCTTGATTCTGATTTCCATTTCAAAAAGTGAGAATGATCATCTTTTGTACTTTACTGGCCTCTTGTATTTCTTCCTTTTTGGGAAATCTTTCATACAGTTTTCCCATTTTTCTTTTTTTTAAGATTTTATTTATTTATTTTTAGAGAGGGAAGGAAGGGGGCGGGGGGGGGGAGAGAGAGGGGGAGAGAGAGAGAGAGAGGGAGGGAGTGAGAGAGAGAGAGGCATCAGTGTGCGGTTGTTGGGGGCCATGGCCTGCAACCCAGGCATGTGCCCTGACTGGGAATTGAACCTGCGATGCTTTGGTTCGCAGCCCGCGCTCAATCCATTGAGCTATGCCAGCCAGGGCCCATTTTTCTTTTAATTCTGTTGATTTAAATATTAAATAAGCAGTTTAGCCTCTATTTATATGTATTACACTTATCACTTGCTACCTTTTTTCCCATGAAACTTTTTATATAGTCTGTCTTTTTCACAGCAAGATTATACATACAAATATATAAAAAGCTTTCTTTTAGAACTTTTGTGATTTCATTTTTTTTACAATGAAATAGTTAAGTTGATGTGGAAGTTACTTGTAAAGAATAAGGTAAAACTCTGAGTTCCCCACAAATATCCATCCATCCCCAAATCGGTTATTGAACCTCTGTTCCTGCTAATGAAGAAATGCACATGTTTTGTACATTGAAGTTCTGGGATCTGTTTCTGGGATCTCTGTTCTGTGTCATTGGTTTATTTCTTCTGCAGTTCCAGACACTTTTCATTTCCGTAGCTTTTTAACTTCCGTGAGAGCGAGGCCTTGAGCAGCTCTTCCATTTTTCAGCATTTTCATGGCTAGTGTTGGCTGTTTGTATTTTAGACCCTAGTGTTATTGTCATGTGTTGTGTCCCCTCCTCCCCATGCCAAATTATTTGTCATTTTAATTGGTATTGCATGGAAAGTGTACATTACTTTAGGGAGAAGTGACATCTTTGTAATGTCTCGTTGCTTGTTTCCATTTCGTAAGTCTTATTTTGTATCTTTCAGAGTTTTAAGGTTTTGGTCTTGTTAAACCTGTTCCTAGGTACTTCCGTATGTGTTATGGTTGTAAGTGGGTGGGGGAGGTGTTCTGTAAATATCAGCGTGGCTGAGTTGTTTGAGAGTGTTCGAGTCTCTGTCCTTACTGATCGCTGTCCATGCCCATCAGTTACTGAGAGAAGCGTGCTGAAGTCTCTGACCAGGATCGCACGTTTGTCTGTCACTTGTTGCATCCTATCAGTCTTTGCTTTGTGTATTTGGAAGCTCTGGTATTAGGTACAGAAGTATTAGGATTATTAAGTCCTTTTGCCGAAGTGATTTCTGTATTATGAACGGACCTTCTTCATCTCTGGCAACATCCTTTGCTCTGAATGTGTTTTTTCCTGGTTCCCGTGCTGGCACCCCACTTCCTCCCCCTGGCGTCAGCGCACCCTCACATCCTCGCGCCGACTTTCTGACGAGGTGACCGCTGCGGGCAGCAGAGCTGGGTCTGGACTCCACGCCACTGGGCTCCCTGTGTCGGCCCCTGTGCTTTTCAGTCAGCGGTGTTTTCGTGAGGAGCCAAGGTGGGCTTGTGAAGGCCCCTTCAGACATCCCGTTTGTCAAGTCAGCAAGGGACAGATTTGTGTGTGAGAGCGCCTTTGGGGTCCTAAGTGAAGAGGATTCTGGGATGGAGCTCTGTGTGCCTCCTCAGGGTCTCTCCCGCTGGGTTGCCCGTGCTTGTCTCGGTGGCCACTCGGCCACGGCGTGTCTGGTCAGGAACACGGCAGTTCCTTCCGCCTGGGCGGGAACAGTGGTCAGGAGGGCCGCGTCTGCACCGCCTCCTGGTGGTCCACACCTGCTTCTCCGCTCACCTGGCTCTGGGGTAGGCTGCAGGGAGAAGCTGCAGGCATCCTCTGAGGCTGAGGGGTTCTGGAAACGTCCAGTTCATTCCTTCATTGTCTACTCTTTATTTTATCTGTTGGCATATTTTGGCCTTTTGATAATTCATGTTTTTAGGTGCGGGGTGGAGCAGCTTAACTCAGGCCCCCATCCCCCACCTTAAACCATAGCTTGGTGTAGCTCTCTAATTACAGACTGACTCATCTTAATGTGCTTTTCCTGTAGAAACTTCATTTGGAGATGCTGACAGACCAGCCACGCACAACTAAATACCACCACGTAATCCTGCAGAACAGGGAGTCCCTCAAAGACAAAGTAATTCTGGATGTCGGCTGCGGGACCGGGATCATCAGCCTCTTTTGTGCGCATTATGCGCAGCCCAGAGCGGTGAGTAGGGGGTGGCCGTCCTTTTAGCGGCTTCAGAGCTGAGTCTCAGTGACATGTCCTTTGTGTATGAGGCACCGTGATGGCAAAGCGGGCAGTGTGTCCTCCCAGGCTGAGCTGGTCAGAGGTCGTGACATTGGTTAATGAGCCACAAACAGCACAGAGTGGTCCACAAACAGGACAGAGAAAATGTTCCAGCGAGCTACATGTGATGGGTGGTCTTTGTGAAACATTTATTTCAGTTAAATGTAGAAACACATGCGTCCCCCTCTACAGGTCACCATCCAAGTGTCGCCCCTGCCCCAAGCAGTGACTGCCTGGCAGGGACCGGACAGACCTCACCTTCTTTCTTGAAAGCATGGCTGGCTGTGCGGAGTGGCAGCCCCTTGGCAGCCTCCACACAGGCAGATGCAGATCCCAGGTAACAGGTGAGGCTGCAGTGCAGGGAGCACCTGAGTCCAGGCCCTGCTGGAGCCTTCACATAGTGCTCCGGACCCTCCACTGAGGACCGGGGTTCGAAATCCTGTGAGAAGCTACTGGTATCCTGAACGCTGGACTGCCCTCGGATGAGTGCTGAGAACCCCCTTCGTCAGTTGGGGGTTGTTGCTGCGTGAACGGGAGCTGGGCCCGGGCCTTACCCAGCAGGCCTCGGGGTGGGCAGCCCGTGTGCGTGCAGAGGCTTCTGTCCACCTGCAGCCCCATGTCTGTTTTAGGTGGAAGGTGGGACTTAGGATTGGATTCATTTCCCTTCCCAGGGCTCTGTCTGGTCCAGGCAGCCTGCTGGCCCTGCCACTGTCGGCACGCTGCCTGCCCTTTGTCCCTGCCGTTTGCCATTTTCTCCGATGCCGGTTCTGACACAGCTGAGGTGACGACAGGCCGCTGTGCAGTTCCAGGGCGTGCACCAATGGTGCTTCTGCCGCACGCAGGTGTACGCAGTGGAGGCCAGCGAGATGGCCCAGCACACAGGGCAGCTGGTCATGCAGAATGGCTTCGCTGACGTCATCACCGTGTTCCAGCAGAAGGTGGAGGACGTGGTGTTGCCGGAGAAGGTGGACGTGCTGGTGTCCGAGTGGATGGGGACCTGCCTGCTGGTAAGGGCGGGGCAGCGGCTGGGTTGGTATCTGGACTCTTCACAAATCATGATTCATTCGGACATTTTTTCTAAGGTCAGGTATAATTGATTTTTTTATATGAACTTGACCCAGTGTCTTATTTTTATCTGATTAAAAAATGCTTTTATAAGAAATCTGGAACTCTTTCATGAGCGATTTACATAAACTGTTTTCTTTGGGAACCTGCGAATATCCAGCGCTTACTGCGCGGGGCTGAGTTTTGACGCAAGCAGAGCCTTTGTCTCTTTGCCCGGCCGGGGCCTCCCTCCTCCCAGCGGCCCCTTGTTTAGCATCAGGGAGACCCAGCCTGGTGCTCCCTGAGTCCCACGGCGGCGGGCGGTGGACAGTTTTCTGGTTATATGCCACCCCACCCTGCCCTGTGTGCTCACACGCTCTGAGCTTGGAGGCCAGTGAGAGGTGGGCGGGAGCTGGGCCTGCAGGTCCCCTTCTCCTCGGACCCTCTGGCCAGCCTCTGGCCAGCATCTAAGGCATTACAGTGAAACACCCCAGTCTGAAAGTCAGCATCTGTGAAAGCCCAGAGAAATACATCTGGGTGGACACGAGGGGAACATGGCTGGTGTTTCCAACGAGGGATCTGTTTAAATGAGTGTTGCCCCGGCTTCTTACAGAGCGCAAAGGTAGAGGGCAGTGGTAGCAAACGACATTGGGCCTTTAGCCCTGCTGAAATTGTCTGACGAGAAAGTGAAATAGACTCAACACCCATGACATAATTTGGCTTATTAATAACGTCTGTGGATTCCTAAGATTATACACAGGGAAAAAAGGGACCGACTGTACCATTAATCCATAAGGTGGGCATTGGCTTTTGCCCCCCAAACACCAGTGTTCATTCAGTAATGTTCATCGAGTTCCTTCTGGCCCTGGGGACATGGGGAGCCAGCCTGCGGTCGAGATGTGTATGTCCATTGCAGTCAGGGGGAGCCTGGCTGCCAAGGGTTCAGCTCTGCTCCTGGAGATGGGCAGTGTGGGGGGAGGGGAGAGAGGAGGCAGGCAAAGAGAGGGGGAGGAGAAGGGAAGGGGGAGCAGCATCAGGCAGGGACGGTGGCCTGGATTCAGTGTCCCTGTGATCCAGCGGGTGGGGGTAGAAGCTGGGTTTAGGTTCTTCGTGCTCCCAGGACTTTGTCATGTGTTAGGCAACCAGCGGCTGGGCCGTCCAGGACCTCCTAAGGGTAGAGCAGAGATCAGGCCATGTGTGGGAGCCCCACTGGGACCGCAGGGCAGGTGAGGCCTTCAGGGTCCGGGGTGGCACAATGGGAGAGGGCCTCTGGCCGGGGGCTGGGGGCGGTGGGAGGGGAACAGGGCCTGGTGGGTTCTCTGTCCCTTGGAAGGATGTCTGGGCTCCGTCCTTGGGTGGCACCACTGGTGGGCTGGCTGTCTCCTGGGCAGAGGAGGCTGGGTGGAGTCCCTGGACTTGCTGGAGGGGGTTGTGGGCTGAGGGAAGGAGTGGCTGGTGCAGCCGAGCAGGGAATCTGGGGTTTGCAGCTCCCTTCCACGCACAGGTTTGGGCGTGGATTCCAGGAAGGGGGTGTGGATTTGGGGGGAGGGGTGTGGGTGTGGGGATAGGAGCCTTGGACTCTGACAGCGCAGGGGTGAGGAAAAAATGAGTGGCACCAAATTCAGGACAAGGACCTTAGAGCAGGTGGTGAGTCCTGGGCAACCTGGCTGCTGTGTGCAGGTGCCTGGGACATCCTGTCAGAGGGGTCCCTGAAATCTCTGGACCTGGCCCAGAGTTGGTGAGACTGGACACAGGGAGGGTGTGAATTTGGGAGCTGTCGCATCTTCACCCATTTGGGTTGTGCCCATGTCCCTACGCAGAAGCCACTGTTTCCTGCAGCCGTGCTTTGTGCCCTCCCAGCATCCTCGTCGGGTGTCCCTGCCCGTTCTCAGGGCTCCTCAGACTTCAGGTCCCCAGTCTCTCCCGCCCACCTGCCCACCTTGTTGCTGACGTTTGGTAACGAGACAGAGAGATCGTGGGACAGGACAGAAAGCACAGAAACAGCCCTGAATACACACTTGTTTAGTTTATAATGAGGGGAGGTGTCCAGTCACTGAGGCAAGGATCTATAATTGCCCAAAGATGCTGAAATGATCGATTGTTTTGTAGAAAACGGTTAGGTCCTTCTTCGTGCTGCATGCTAAAATAAATTCCAGAGAGATTATAGAGTTAAGTAATTAAACCCCCCCGAAACAACTGGTATAAATTTATCTGATGTTAGGATGGGAAGGTCTTTCTAAGAACAAAGCCTGTAAAGAAACTGTACAACAAACTATTTGACTAAAGACGTACCCTTTATACATAACCAACCTGTGCATGTTTAAAAGTCAAGTGAAACTAAAGAATCGCAGCACATGTGACAAAGGGCTAATATCCTTACTTCTTGTAGAATTCCAGTAAGGCAGTGAGACAAGCACGCATTAAATAGCTCCAGGACAGTGGCAAGGGGCATGGACGGGCCCAAGACCAGTCACGCGCATGTTGTTTAACGTCACTGATAATCAAAGAAGGGACTTAAATATTTCTGAGTTACCACAGTGGCTGAGAAATGACCTACTATCTGATGATACCCAGTGTCACCGAGGTTCTGGGGAAACCGTCATACACTGTGCTTGACGGTGTAGATTGGCGTAGCCTCTGGACGGAAAACAGGGCAGAATATGTCAAGAAGCATTAAAAATAAATACTTGGTTGAAATAATCAGATTTTTACACAAATCTATGCTAAAACATGTACATGGCAATACCATTTAAAAGGGGAGAAAATTGGAAAAAGTCCAAATAGCTGTGGCAATCCATGCAAGAGACCACTCTGGCCATAAAAGATTGTGTTTTAGAAAGAATTCTCAATAAACTTAGAGAAAAATTGATGACAGTTTGTTGGTTTAATAAAAAACACAAAAAATAATTGCAGTATGATTCCCATTTTGTTTTTAAAACTCACGTGGCAATGACCCAGCTTCAGCTGCAGGTGGGCTGGAGCGAGCGTGTCCCACCCTGTCTCTCCCTGAGTGCGGCTGCTGACCCAGGACAGGGTGCAGGGGGAGGCTGCTTGAGAACTTTGGAAAATATATTTCTGAGTCGGTAGGTTGGGAAAGACCAGAATGTGAAGTACCACTGGCCTGGCCTTGAGTTTATCATTTATTCCTTCTCTGGTTCTGTCTCAGCATCTGTAACTTCAGAAATTTAGAGAAAAAGGACTGTTGACCTTAAAAACAAAAGCCAGTTATTTTACCAGCAAAAATCAATTTATTCAGGAACAGCAAAGAATTGAAATTTGGGACAATCAAGCTGTAGCGAAGTCATCGGCAAATCCAGCAAAGGAAAAGAACATTGTTTTATGGAGAAAAAGGAGGAAGTTGGGAGGGATTGGATTTACTGTGTGATAATTTAAGAATAAAATTAAAAATTGCACATATATAATTTTCACATTTGTATGTGCCTTTGAAGAAAAATTCTTGAAGGTAAACCTCTCAGTGGTAGGTCCCTTACTGGGTGCTGGGGTTAGTCATTATTTTTATCTGTACCTTTCTGAGTTTTCTAAAGTTTCCCATACCGAACGTGTGTTACTTTTATAATAAAACCTTCCCAAGGTTAAGGGAAACAAAACCCCCTGTGCCTCCTCACCTGCTGCGCTGCGGGATGAAGGGTCCCTGGCCCCGCCCTGCTCCCTGGCACACCCTGTGGTTCAGCCACGAAGCCGTGTTCTCGGTTGTAGGCGACACATGCCGCCCGTGTCTGGGGGCTTTCTGAGGGACACGAGGTGGCGTTTGGCTGCCCTTGTGACTTAAGTACCACGTAAACCTCCGTGGCGGTCCTGCTTGGGCCTGTCACATTTTTAAACAGCAGTTTCGGTCAACTGAAAGGGTTGTGACTATTCTGAGAATACCCCAAGTTGATTTCATTTGCAGTTAACACCCTGCAACACTTAGGGACTTTTAAAAATGGAGTAGTAACTACTGAGTGACTGGAGTAGGATGAGAAGGTTTATCCTGACCTTTAGCCGCGCCTCAGTTCTGAATCCAATGCGAAATGATGTGACTTAACCCCAGCTGTGATAGGAGGCCACCCAGTGTGGGTGGAAGATAAAGTCTCCAAGACGTGTTGTGTGGGCGGCACTTCCATGGCTGGTAATAATACTCTTGAGGGTGAAACTTGTAAAGATAGATCCCAGACCGGCTGAATGCCGCGGGAGGTCTGTGCGGCCTCTCAGTCACGCTGTCTCCCCTGCGTCTCTCCCTCCTGTGCAGTTTGAGTTCATGATCGAGTCCATCCTGTACGCCCGGGACGCGTGGCTGAAGGAGGGCGGGGTCATCTGGCCCACCACGGCGGCGCTGCACCTCGTGCCCTGCAGCGCCGACAAGGACTACCGCAGCAAGGTTCTCTTCTGGGACAACGCCTATGAGTTCAACCTCAGCGCTCTCAAGTGAGTGTCTGTGGCTCGGGCACACACACAGGCACTGGTGGCCTCCCGCAGAGTGAACTGCAGGCGTTTCTAAGTCAGAACAGTGTGCTCTGGTGTAGAACTTGCCATGGATCTAAATTTGTGTCACGTGTCTGAGAATTTCACACATCGCCTTCAGTGCCTTGAAACTGATAACGGCTGTGATAGGAACCAAAATGTGTTTTGCAGTTTGAGTTCCCAAATATAATGGGCCTTTAAAGTGAGGCCTTTAGAATTGTGGGGGCCATTGAATCATTGCACCCAGCCCAGATCCCAAAGGGAATGGAGAGGGAAGGTCCTGACAGGGTTGTTGTGTAGTTCTTATAGGAAAAAATGGGCAGGAAGGGCCGGGCAGGTTAGGAAAAGGCAGTTAGGGACTAAGGTCTGTGGTAGAGTCAGTGGATTGAAGCAGTTTGGTCCTCCATCCGGAAAAGGCAAATGAGCAGAGCAGGGCAGGAAGCTCCGATAGAACTGCAGCCTGGGAAAGGGGGGCGTGAGGGCTGAGGCAGCGAATTGTCCCGGGACGATCAGCCGGCCCCTTGGAGAGGGTTCTCTCCTCTCACACCACACATTCAAATTTAATTCCGTGTGGATTTAAGAGTTTTGTGTTAGAATTTTTGGGGGCCTGTGGATCAGATCCCAGATGGAAAGAAAGTCAACAGAAACAAAGAGAGAGGTGCTGGGCTTTGGCTTAAAAACCGACAGCATCTCTGTGTCAGAAAATGGCAAAAATGCAATGAAAAAGGCACCGACTCCTTAGAGAACGTTACTGGCTGACACATTTTAGGGTCAGTTAGAGACAGATGACTAGCCAAATGAAATTACAGTCAAGTCACAGAAATGGGCAAGTCATTCTCAAAAAAATATTAATCAGCGAATAGAAGGTGGGGCAAAAGGGGGTTTAGAGTTGTTCAAATAAAGAAAAATAAGACAAGAGTAAACTCTTTGTTTCTCATACTCACAACTGTAAACCTACATTTATCCCATCTTATATTTGAAAAACATTGCAACGCTATTAGTAATTAAAACAGATAAAATAAATGCCATCTTTGCCCACCAGATAAGCAAAGATTAAAGTAGCAGCCTGTGCTGCGTGAGCCACATGTATGATGGGAGAGGGATGGGCACCATCTGAACAGAGCTGTGGGTGTGGGGACCTTGCAAGCAGGCGTCCGGGGTGAGGGGAGGGGTACCTCCCATTGCTGTCAGAGCCTCCTGCTGTAGAATACTTGTCACAGGGTCAGGGTGCGCTTGTGTGCATGCAGAACACTGAAACAGTGGCCACCCTTGGGAACGTGGTTAAATTGCCGTATATCCAACTGGTGGGGTATTGTGCAGCTGTTTAAAAAACCCAAGTGATATCAGAGTTAAGAGTCAGTAGATGGTATTAGAGTTAAAGAGATAGTAAAACTGGTAGGACGCAAGCTGTCTGGAGTGGCTTCTATTCTGTACAAATATATGTATATCAGCGCCTGTGGAAGAGTGAGGTGACTAAATGTATCAAAATGCTAAGGTAGGAGTATGCTATACTTTCCAAATTCCTTATAAGTGCATAATTATTTTTATCAGAAAAAATTATTGAACTATACATGTAGTGGTGTCTTATTAAAACGTTTACTTTTATTTGCTACTTCTGAAGTTGCTGCTGTGCTCAGTTTTTGACGCACTTCTGTGGTCAGTCACTGATTACTCTGTGGCAGGCACAGGGCTCAGCCTTTGAAACCGAGTGTTAGGCAGCGGACGGCACGCGGAGGGCCGTGCAGGAGGCCCAGCTCTGTCTCCTGAGGGTCAGGCCCAAGTGCCTGCCTTTGGTCCTGCTGGTCCATTGAATTTATCACTGCATAACAGAACAGAAGTAGTTTTTCTTTGCTGTGATTGCACTAGGAGACCCATGGAAGGTACTTGGTGATGAAATAGATGACAAAAGTAGAGAAAACACACTGTGGCCCTGTGCGTTCTGGGTGTCTGGCAGAGGCCGGTTTCCCGTGTGTTTGGTCCCCCGGAAGAGGACCGGAGGGGAGGGCCCTGTTACTTGCACACTCGGGTTGCCTGTTGGCCCGGCTGGCCACAGGGAGGGTTGGAGGGGGGCCCTCAGGGCTGCAGACAGTGGTTTAGAGTTCCTGCTGACGCACAGAAGAGGAAAAGCGTGCCCTGTTGTCACACATGTGTGTGGCAGAGCCTGAGATATTGGTGGTGACTTTGAGTAATTCCTTTGACCTTTCCCCCAGATCTTTAGCAATTAAGGAGTTTTTTTCCAAGCCCAAGTATAACCACATTTTGAAACCAGAAGACTGTCTCTCTGAACCGTGCACTATATTACAGCTGGACATGAGGACGGTGCAGATCGCTGACCTGGAGGTGAGGCTGGGTCATCAGTGCGCACATGCGTGAGCCTTGTTCTTCAAGTAAACGAATTTATGTACTTGTTGCTATTGATTTTCCCCACAGTCTTTTTTCTTATGATCCATTCTGATTTTCTTTTATATTTTTACATCATTATATTACTAGTTAACCTCTTTAACCTCTTCTATTATTTTTAGATTTATGTTTAATATTAGCATCTTGAGATTCAGATTATGTCCAATTTCATGATGAAATTAAAAAAAAAAGATTTTATTTACTTATTTTTAGAGAGAGGGAGAGGGAGGGAGAAAGAAGAGAAACATCAATCTGTTGCCTCTCACACACTTCCAACTGGGGACCTGGCCCATGATGCAGGCGTGTGCCCTGGCTGGGAATCGAACTTGTGACCTTTCGGTTTGCAGGTCGGCGCTCAATCCACTGAGCCACATCATGCAGGGCCTTAGAGAAATTTGAATTAAAAATTTTTCTAAGTTTTTTTAGCTACCTTGGTGACGAACCTCTTAGTTCTTTCTTTCATTTACCCTCTCTCGCCACGAGGCAGCGTGTGTGGGTTCAGGATGGCCCCAGGCTACGGGCGCACTCTGAGACGGGGAGTTGGAGAGACAGTGTTGGAGAACCCCCACTGGAACTGTGGTGGGCAAAAGAGTGGGGAACTGAAGTTCTGAGGCTTTAGTATTTTCTAGCTACAGTTGTCAAGACGCAGACTTGAACTTTCTATTTATGCAAAGAACTGAGAAGAGAAAGTATTCACAAATTTTGGGGCAGAAAATCAGGCAAATAAGACCTTTTCTGATTATCTGCTGTGTTTTGAATGCACAACGCAAGTTTTAATATTTTACTTTCCCCAGAAGGCAATTCTATATGATCTTCGATGTGTTTAGCTAAACTAGCAAGTTCAGGGTTAATAGTTACTGAAGTGGGCAGTATAGGCTTTGGCTCAGTGCAGGGTTGCGGGTATGTGAGAGGCGGTCCTCGGAGGGAGCAGTTGCTGGGTCTCGCTCAGCCAGCACCTGAGACAGCCTCGTGCCACGTGCTCACAAACCCATGTCCGTTTTCTTGTTCGGCTGGACACAGACAATGAAGGGTGAACTGTGCTTTGATATCAAGAAAGCCGGCACTCTGCATGGATTCACGGCCTGGTTCAGCGTCCGTTTTCAGAACCTGGAGGAGGACGAGCCGCAGCTGGTGCTGAGCACAGGACCGTTCCACCCGTGAGTGTCAGCGCCTCCCCACGGGTACACCGGTGGCCCTCCGTGGAGTGTAAAGGGTTTGCCTTCAAGTTATTGGCATGAAAGAAAATCATGACGGAGTCACGAATGTAAAGATCTAGTAATATTGAAAGTTGACCTAAAATCTCTCTACACCAAGCTGACCCCCGGGCTAGGGAGCTGTGATGTGGAGCCAGGTATGCAGGTGGGTGGGCACTGGGGCCCAGGCCTTGCACCCCATTTGTCCCTGCACCCGGCTTGCTCAGGCTGCTCCTGGGCCCCCTAGATGGACAGACCCAGGCTTTGTTCATCTCAGCTTAGGGAGGAGCAGGCTTTGTCTTCTCAGTTGCCCTAAACACTGCTAACTTTTTTCATAGCAGCATTGTGGGGCTTTTCCTCCAACTTTTTTTGCGGATGGCAAGTGTTTCTTGAGACAGATGTTCTGTGCAACAGCGTTTCGTGGCTGCACACCTGTGCCCACACCGGGGAGCTGACGCTGTCTGTTCACGGAGCTGGACACGCAGCCCCTGGAAGCGCTGCCTTTGTGTGGGGCCTTCAGGCCCCTTTCAGTACCTGCCCTCCTGGACACTCCCCTCGGGCACGGGGGTCAGCCGGAAGGGAGCAGGGCGCCAGGGAGGGGTGCTGGTTGTGGCATCTGGGCCCGAAGGAGCCTGGCCGCCACTCTGTGAGAGCAGCTCCTCAGCTGCTTGCCCGGAATGACCTGTGGAGGTTGGGGGGCTGGGACTGTGGCTAGTGCTCCTCTGGGGCCACCTCGCAGGTGTGAGCGCTCCCCTTAGGAACGGATGGTGGGCGGTGTGTGCCTGGGCCGGCCTCCATCTGAGTGTCTGCAGGCGGGTTGTCCGCACACAGGCGGTATCAGGGACAGGGTCGGGGAAGGCGTGGCGCAGAGCCAAAGGATCCCTGCTCGGTGAAGGGCCAGGGAAAGAGACTCCCATGGTGGCTGAGGGGAGGTGGCCCGAGAGTCAGGGTGGGGAGAGGTAGCCAGTGCCTCAGCTGGGCAGGACCGTGGGGCTACACCAGGTGCCGGGGGAAGGCCATGTCAGGGCCACAGCCTACAGAACTTAGGATCCCAGAGTGTTACTGTTTCCCCCTAAATGTGTCAGTGGTCTGGTACACATGCAACTTAAGTTTTACGGGATTAATGTGTTTTGGACCCAGTTTCATCAGTGTACATTTCTCCTTAGCTGCAGAAACTAGAACTACAGGCATCAGTGGCTTAGAGAAGGAGCTGGGAGATTTGGGATGGACGCCCGCTGTGCCAGGATGCAGAGCTGGGTTGACGCTTTGAGGGCTGGGGAAGAAAGACCATACAGGAACCCTGAACTGGCCATGTGCCCCTGAGCACCCCAGTGTCCCCTGGGCCAGCAGGGTAAGCCACCCTTGCCCCTCCTGGACTCTGAGCAGTGTCCAGGAGCTGTGCCCTCACTGGGCCCTCTTTGCCCTACAGTACCCCTGAGAAGTTGGGCCCAGGGTGGGCGCTCCAGTAATGCCGCCCCCGTGTCTTGCAGCACCACCCACTGGAAGCAGGTGCTGTTTATGATGGACGAGCCCGTCCCCGTCTACATGGGGGACGTCCTCACAGGCTCGGTCGTGCTGCAGAGAAACCCAGTGTGGAGGAGGCACATGTCCGTCGCTCTGAGCTGGTCTGTCACTTCCGGACAAGACCCTGCGTCGCAGAGAGTAAGATATTTAGCGGTCAAGTCGTGTGCAGTGGGGCTGGTCTGGGGGATGGTGTGTGGTGGTCACAGTGTGAATGCGCTTCCCGCCCTGGCCCGACACCATGGCCACACCTTGCCTGCTTCCTTTTCCTAATCCTCATGAAGCGGAGTGGACGCTGTTATTTCCAGAACAGGAAGCGGAGGTGTGGGAAGGTCAGTGGTTTGTTCTGTGACACAGCTAGTCAGCAAGAGGAGACGCAGACCAGGCTGGGGGCCACCCCTTCTGCGCTCAGGAGCTCTGGGCAGAGGGAAGGGGCGGAGAAGGCAGACGCACACCCAGTGCCCGCAGGCATGAGGGGCAGGTTCTGACCAGGCGGCGGTTTGCGGACCGAAGAGCCCTCGTTCCCACAAGTGACGCCGTGTAGTTGGTGGGGTCCGTAGGCCCAGAGGCCACTGGAAAATGGATTCTTTTAATGTAGGATGGAAAAGAAAATCATCAAATGGTTTTCTGTTATTTTTTTTAAGGTTTTATTTATTTTTGGAGAGAGGGGAAGGCAGGGAGAAAGAGAGGGCAAGAAACATCAATGTGTAGTTGCCTCTTGTGCGCCACCTACTGGGGACCTGGCCCACAACCCAGGCATGTGCCCTGACTGGGAATAGAACCAGCGACCCTTTGGTTCACCGGCTGGCACTCAATCCACTGAGCCACACCAGCCAGGGTGGTTTTCTGTTATTTTTGATACCTGTTTGTGCGTTTGCTTTACAGTAATTTTGTAAGTTTGTCATTTAAAAAAAAATTCTGCACCTGAATGCCATTCTTTCGTCCAATGTTTAATTATTAGTAGGGAAAACTACATGTTAATCGAACTTCAGTGATTTATTATTTGCCTCATTGGTTTTCTTTGTCTCGTTCAGGTTGGAGAAAAAGTCTTTCCGATCTGGAGATGACAGCTGAAATGCCGCTCGGGAGGCAGTGCGAGCTGCTGGAGGGACGCACAGGAGCGAAGGAAGTCACGCCCTGGATGTCAACACTCGTTCCTGTGACAGCCTGCGAACGCTCGCTCTGCCTTGCAGGTGGCACCGCCCCTCCCTGTGTGCTCCGCAGACCAACACCCTTGGGCTGCCCTCGCCACTGTCACTGCCCGTGTCTGTACTCTAGAAGTAGGCTGTGTGTCCAGGTGTCCACCAGTTGTGTCCACAGTGCCGACCTCTGGGTGTTCCTAAGCTAGGTCTAGTTCTACACTCATAGGACACATGCGTCAACCTTGTACTCCTGTGAAAGTGACCGTCCGTGCATCACGTGTTAATGGTGTCCTTACTGCCCTCGGTTCGTCCCCTCGGCGTGCAGAGCGTGGGGCTGCACAGAGCCGTGCAGGACCCGGAGGTGGCAGTGCATGCGCCGGGGCTCTGCATGAGATAGTACAGTTGTAGGGACGTCTTCCAGATCCCCTGTGTTGGCACATAGTACATCTCAATAAATATTTTTAAACGAATGTTCGTGTAGATCTACTCTCTGCCTGTGCGCTCTTTGCATAAGCATGGGCTCGCACTACGAGCACCACTCCGTAACCATTCTCATCTAATGTTATGAAGGAACCTCCCACGCCAGTGGGGACACGTCCACGACTTTCTGTGTGTGGGATTTTGATTTTCAGTTAACTTTTTACTGAAATATAAAATCCATACTTCAAACTGCACAAGTTATGAGTGTGCAGGTGGATGAAATGTCACAGGATGGACATGCGTAACCGGTACGGTGGGCAAGACACTTCCACACACTCGAGGCCCCCAAGTGCCCCTTCTGCTCAGCAGCACCCCCCACCCCCAGGGTCATGCCTGGGTTCTAGCGCTACAGATTACTCCTGCCTGGTTTTGGACATTTTATGAATGGACTTAATGCATTTCGTTACAGACTGAATGTGTTCTAAAATTCATGTGTTAAATCCTAATCCCCCAGTGTGGTGGTATTTGTAGGCGGGGGCCTTTGGGAGGTGACAGGGTCATTAGGGTTATTGTCCATCACGATGGGATTAGTGCCCTCATGAAGGAGACCCCAGAGAGCCTGGCCCCTTGTGAGGACGCTGTGAGAAGGCAGGTGGTCCTCTATGAACCAGGAAGCAGGCTTTCACGGGACCCCAAATGAGCTGGTTTCTTGGTGTTGGACTTGAGCCTCCAGAGCTGTAGGAAATAAACGCTGTTTGAGCCACCCTGTCTGGTATTCTGGTATGCCTGCCACCCTGGGTGGTCTAAGACAGTCTTCTTTTGTGTCTGGCTGCCTTAGATCACACTGTGTGTGTGAGAACCGTCCACGAGTTCTGTGCAGTGAGCGTGGTTGCCCTCTCATCACTGTGCAGTGTTCTACTGTATGAATGCACCTTGGCTTATGTGTCTAACTCACTGGTGGTGGGCAGTTGGGTTGTTTCCAGTGTCTAGCCGTTCTGACTGGTGCAAATGTAAACATTTCTGTGTGTGTGTTTTGGTGCACGCTTCTGCTGAGTATACGCTAAGGAGCTCAGCTTTCCTAGAAATGATCAGACAGTTTTTCAAAGTCCACACCCTCATCAACAGCGACTGTCGTGTGTGTCTCATTTCGCCCGTTCTGGGGGAGGTGTGGGTGTGATCTCATTACCTCGACGGCTCATGCAGCTTCGTGTGTTCATTGGCCATTGGCTATCCTACTTTTGAAGTGCTTGTTCAAGACTTTGGCTCATTTTACTATTAGGGTTGGGTTTTTTTTCCAGCTAATTTTGCAGGGGTTCTTGATAGAATGTATGTAGGAGTCCTGTATCATATACAGTGGTACCTTGGGATCCATCGCTAATTTGTTCTGATGAGAGGCGAGCAAGCAATGACTGATAAAGCATTTTCTCTTGTGGGCTGGCGAGGTGACTCATACAGATGCTAGCGAGTGCACTGAGTGGTGAATGGCACTGAGGGCTGACACCTTTTTTATCACCAAAATGCCACGAGTACCAGGTTTGACAGGTTCTGAGGCTGGCGACTACTGAGGCACCGCTATGTTTATTTTGTGACTGGCTTCTACTCTGTGGCTTGTTTTTCACTTTCTTCAGAGTATTTTTTATAAACAGAAGTCCTTAAGTTTCATGTTGTCCAGTTTGCACGTTCTGTGTCTTGTTTAAGAAATTGGCCTGTTCCAAGACCATGAAGGTCTTCTGCATTCTCTGCTATAGCTTATACTGCCTGAGCCTTTGCGCTTGGACTGGTGTTCCCTCTGGAATGGATTTGTCATTCATGGGAGGGAGGGGTTGAGATTTATTTTCCTCTGTGAGGTAGAAACTTAGATCATGGATTTTCAACCATTCTCCTCTTCTAACACATGCATCAGAAACTGAATTTTCCTCTAGAATGGCTTTAGCTGCAACAACAATACATCGATATATTTTCAGTATCATGCAGTTGGGGATATTTTTACATTTTTGTTAGGATTTCTTCTTTGTGCTATGAGTTTTTCGGAGGTGTGTGGGTTAATTTCAAAAGGTGGGGTTTCTTAGTTATCTTTTCTTCTTGAGCTCTAGCTTCATTTCACTGTGGTCAGAGAACAGACGGAGTGATTTCGGTGCCTTGAAACCGTTGAATCCTGTTTTATGACTTGACAGTGGTCAGTTGTAATCATGTGCACTTGAAAAGAGGGCGTGTCCAACTGCCGTTGCATGTGTGCAGAACTCTAAACGTGCAATGCATCTCAGCTGTGTTAATTGTCTTGTTCAGAGAGTTGGCCCCTGACCGGTAATTTTGTCAGCTTGTTCTGTTGGCTTTGAGTCTCTCTGACTTAGTCAGTGGCTTCGTCTTGCTCAGGCTGCAAAATACCATATCAAATACCATAAGCTGAGTGGCTTAAACCAAAGAAGTTTCCCTCCCAGGGGTCTGGTTCTCGAGGCCGCGAGTCCGTGATAAAGGTGCTCGCCAGCTTGGCTCCTGGTGAGGGCCGTGTCCTGGCTCACAGACTGCCGCCACTCACGGTGTCTTCACGGGACAGAGAGCGGGAGCTCTCTGGCGTCTCTTCCTATAAGGACACTGGTCCTCTTGGATCAGGGCCCCACCCTTACAGCCTGTTTATTTTTAATTCCTTCCTTAAAGCCCCATCTCCAAAAACAGTTACACTGGGAGTTAAAGCTTTACTGTATACCGAATGTCTGTGTCTCCCCAACCCCCACATTCCTATGTTGAATCCTGATCCCCTGGTGATGGTAGTAGGAGGTGGGGCCTTCTGGGAGGTGGCTGGATCATGAGGGTGGTGGCCCTGCGATGGAATTAGCGCCCTTAGAAAAGAGATCCAGAGAGCTCGCTCTCTCTTCCCCCATGTGAGGCAACGTCGAAAAGATGCCGTCTGTGGACCAGGAAGGGACCCCTCACCAGATCCTGAATCTGCTGGTGACTTCATGCTGGGCTTTCAGCCTCCAGACTGTGAGATACAGGTTTCGGTTGTTTGTAAGCCTCCCAGTCTACAGTATTCTCTTAGAGAAGCCGGGACAGTCTAAGATAGGCCTCAACCCGTGGGTTTTGGAGGGACACAGTTGAGTCCCTAGCATTGTGTTTCCTAGCCCTCAAATTCATGTCCTCCTTCCATGCAACATGCGTTCATTCCATCCCGGCAGTCCCCAAAGTCTTCTCTCACTCCAGCATCAACTCTGAAGTCCAGTGTCACATCTGAATATCCAAACCAGGTCCGTGTGTGGCTCAGGCATGGTTCACCCCGAGGAAACACTCCCGTCCTGCTGGGAGCCTGTGGAACCAGGCGAGACAGGCGCTGGTAAAACACAACGGTGAGATGAAGAGGGTCAGACGTCTCCACTGCAGAGGGAGAGCTCAGAGTAAATGGGTGCCGGGGCCCAGTCCCATCCGGAACCTAGCAGGGCACATTCTGTTAGGGTGCGAGGCTGGGCAAGAATCCTCCGACCTGCTGCTCTCATGCCGAGCCCACCGGGCCTTCAGCTCGCTGCCCCCGAGCAGCTCTGTGAGGGTCCCCCTCCCACCTGCCACGACACACTCATGGTGGGGTCACCATTGTGCTGTGGTGAATGTGCATGTACGAGTCTTTGGGTGGACGTTTGTTTTCACTTCTCTTGGGTAGATAGTTAGGAGTGGAATTTCTGGGTCACATGGTAACTCTGTGTTCAACTTTTTGAGTACTTGAGAACTGTTTCCCACCGAGGCGGCACCGTTTTACACTCCCATCAACAATACCTGGGGATTCCAATTTCTCTGCCTCCTTTCCAGAATTTGTTTTTTCTTAAAAAGAAAAAAAAATATTCTGCTTGTCCTGGTGAGTGTGAAGTGGTATCTCATGGTGGGTTTGACTTGCATTTCCCTGATGGCTAATGATGTTGAGCATCTTTATGTGCTTATCGGCCATTCATGTATCTTCTTTGGAGGAATGTCTGTCTAGGCAGGTCCTTTGCCCATTTATTTATCTGTCCGCTATTGGGTTGTAAGAGTTTTTCGTATATGCCTGATACAAGTCCCTTATCAGACACACGATTTACAAATAGTTTTCCCATCCCATGGGTTGTTTTGCACTTTCCAGCTCAAATGTTTTTAATTTTGGTGCTATCCAGTTGACATGTTTTTTGGTCACTTGTATTTTTGGTATTTAAGAATCCATTGCTTAATCCAAGGTCATGAAGATTTACTCCTATGTTGTCATGAAAGACTTTAGTTTTAGTTCTCACATTTAGGCCTGGGACCCATTTTCAGGTAAGCTTTGTGTATGGCATAAAGAAGGTGCACAACTCCTCTCTTTTGCCTGTGGATTTCCAGTTGTCTCGCCACCATTTGTTGTCAAGACTGTTCTCTCCCCATTGAACTGTGTTGGTGCCCTTGCAGAGCACCCGCCCATCTCGCATAAAATGAAAAAGAACGACATGATGAAATGGTGAAACGAAAGAGAATAAAGATAAATGAAGCCACCATCAATTAAAAAATACACAAAGCAGGAAAAAGGTGTACAGAAAAATGAAAGCAGAAGTTAATTTAGGAAGACAATAAGAGATCGCTGGAAAATGCTCAAAAATTTGGAAAGGAGGAAGCATACGTCTAAATAACCTATGGCTCAAAGGATGAGAAATTAGAATGTTTTTTGAACTGAAAAAAAAAAAGAAAATATATAAAAATTTTTGGGCATGCATCTAAAGCAGTATTTAGGGGAAATTCATACCATTAAAAGTCCATATCATATACTCACTGGCAGTGAATGATACACTTAAAATGGCTAAAATGGCATGTTTTATATTGTGTACATTTTATCACAATTTAAAAAGTCTCCATTAGAAATGAGCCCTGGCTGGCGTACATAGCTCAGTGGATTGAACTCGGGCTGCAAACCAAAGCATCGTAGGTTCGATTCCCAGTCAGGGCACATGCCTGGGTTGCAGGCCACGGCCCCCAGCAACCACACATTGATGTTTCTCTCTCTCTCTTTCTCCCTCCCTTTCCTCTCTAAAAATAAATAAATAAAATCTTTAAAAAATTAAAA